GAGAGGAATTATTTCAGCTCAGTGCTAATGTGGACACGAGAACGAATGGATATAAACTGGCCGTGGGGAAATTTAGGCTTGAAATTAGACGAAGGTTTCTGACCGTCAGAGGGGTGAAATTTTGGAACAGACTTCCGAGGGAAACGGTGGGGGCGAAAGACCTCTCTGGCTTCAAGATTAGGCTAGATAAGTTTATGGAGGGAATGGTTTGATGGGATAACGTGATTTTAGTCAATTAGGCAATAACGGCCATCGCTGGTAAAATGAGGGTCTGGCTAGAGAATCTTGCCTGTATGCTCGGGGTTCTGCTGATCGCCATATTTGGGGTCGGGAAGGAATTTTCCTCCAGGGTAGATTGGCAGTGGCCCTGGAGGTTTTTCGCCTTCCTCCGCAGCATAGGGCAGGGGTCGCAAGCTGGAACATTCTCTGCAACTTGAAGTCTTTAGATCACGATCTGGAGACTTCAACAGCAGAGTTAAGAGAAAGTGGGGGGGTCAGCTTTTGTGGCCTGCATCATGTGGGAGGTCAGACTAGATGACCATATGGGTCCCTTCTGACCTTAAAGTCTATGAGTCTATGAGTCTATGAGAAACAATTACAGAACCAGACAGAGACCATGCAAATAAACATACAAAACAATACAGAAGCGAGGATTTCACATCCCAGCTATTGATAAGTGAGTTCTTGCCAGACAGGATGCTATCACACTAAGTTTCCTTTTACATCTTCTAGGCTCTTCCCTTTCTCTGGAGGTGATAGGAATATCAGGACAGGATTGTATTCTTAACAGCCCAATAGCACCTTATTTTAATGTGACTAGTTTGGAATGTGAGGATGTGACCGTTCACTTCTCAGCTTATGGCTGCCTCTGCTGCTTAGCCAAAGGCCTTACTTAGCCTAAGAACAGAGCCTTAGACTGTCACAATACGAGTAGGCCCTTACACAGACAGACAGTGATTTTGATTCTTTCTTTTATACCTCTATAACTAGCTAAGTGATAAGAATACACCTAAATTCTTAAAGTATAGGCCTTTACAGATAGGCCTGAATATCTATATCCTAACACATGCTATAGCAGATGTAGAAGCTACATATTCTATGATGCTCACTTGCACAGTATAGAATCGTCTTCTGTGGCACATGACTTTAAATAATTTTACTGCTGTAACACACTAGCAATTCTTGTAGTTTTGCAGCTGAATTTTTTGAAGTTCTCCTTGCCACCAAGTTTCTTTGGAAGAGCGATGTTTCCTGGTGCTTGTTTTCCATCTCTCCAGATATAGGTGACAATGACAGATCTGACACATTTTATTTATGTAACTCTATTGTACCTCCCCATTTTTACTGTTTCTAGAGCTAGAAGCTCCTGTTGGTTGTATATTCTCACAATCCAGTTTAATGCCATTTCCCCAGATGCATTGTACAAACAACAACAAGCCAATGCTGCAAAAAGGGCATCATTTCTAAACTTGAAATCTGCATAGTGGAATTTGTAACCGTCCACTTAAGCAACACAAACAGTCTTCAGGTTTTCCTGCTCCCCACTGTGGCACTGGAAGAGAATAATTAGTGCATGAAAAATGTCCCATGATAAATTTGAGATGGCTGGTTGCAGAAAACAATCTTTTGAAAATGACAATCTACTGCACTACTCAATCTGGATTTCCCCAGGCATGCCAGATTTCCCAAATTCTATGAATTCCCAACCAGGGAAGAAGAAGACAAGGATGTGCAGCAGAAGTTACTTGAAGACAATATCAGAATAAAATTGACTGCAGCCTTCTACTGACTCATTTATGTTGAGAATGTTTAGAAGTTTGTGTATTCTCAAAAGACTGCTTCTTTATATCAGGGAAGAGGAGGAGTGAGGATGGGTAGTTGGCTAGCAATTAAATAAACAGGTTGATTACAGTAGGTGTCAGTGCCCTTGATAAAGGATAGTCCACATGCACGTATCATTTATTGATAAAAGTCACAGCGAACTAGAGAGACAATGTGATAGTGAGTTGAACACATGGAGGGCTTGGAGACAATGAACTATATTTTACACCTGGCTTTTCCACTCACTTGTGTTAGGCAAGTAACAGCCTTTCTGAGCCTCAGTTACCGATTTTTATAAGGGGCTTAATAATACATGTTTACCTGCCTCATAGGGATGTTGTGAGGATTAACTAACATTTGAAAATAGTTATTTTATCACAAGCGTGGCCTGCCTCTGTGAAGGGGGTGGCTGGGAGCACTGGAACAATCTTCAGCATTTTAACAGGAAAGCTGCAGTGGTTATATGGCCCTTTAAAAACTCAAGGGCCTTTATCATTAGTATGATGAATAGTACCTGAACAGGCTTATCTAGGCCAAAGTCTCCCTCCTCATAGGTGGTCTTGTTACTGGACAGCATAGCAGTGGTGAATTGAAACTTGTGATGTGGGCTGCTAGTTCAGCAAAGCAGTTGAAACAAATAAGGTGCATCCACAGAATTTATAAACTAAAACCACCCCTCTCTGCCTGGGGGATGTTTCAATTCCCCATCTAAATGGCAATTATTGGGCTCCACAGTCTCTCAGAACTTGGTTCAGGCACTCACAGATCTGCCAACACTATGGTTTCCCCCTGTAGACTGTTTCTGACCCTTTTATTAGAAAAAGCTGTCAGTCTATGAAGAAATCTCCTCTGATTGGCTGTCCTGCCCACTCCTGAAGCAGTCAGCCCTTCTGCTTCCCAGCTAGATTCTGCTTTCAACCATCCCATCCCGGTAGGTGATGACCTTGCTTTGGTCATTATACACTCCATCAACTCCTATCTGGACTATAGCAATGAAGTGTACATGGGCATGAAGCCATCAGCTTTTGGGAAACCCCAACTAGTATCAAACATTGCAGCACGTCTCCTCAGCAACACTGGCTACTGCAAGTGTAATGCTGACAGACCCTGGTCGTTGGTGGATGGGATCGAACCTGGGACCTCTGGAGCTTAGTCTATGAGCCTCTACTGCATGAGCTAAAAGCCAACTGGCTGTTAGCTAAGGCTGTAGAGCAGACTCATTAATTACTCTTTAGTTGGGAATGATGATTTAGTTGGGAATTGGTCCTGTTTTGAGCAGGGGGTTGGACTAGATGACCTCTTGAGGTCCCTTCCAACCCTGATATTCTATGATTCTATACTCTTTCTTTCTCTCTCTCTCTCTCTCATCTCAGTGCCACTATCTGGGACAGAACACCACACCCAGAAGATGTGTGGGTTACACAAGGACCAAAACCTTGCCAAAACTAAACACTCCACTGCATACACAATTCTTTGCCCGGTGAGATAATGAGAGAAAGAACAAACCACACATGTCAGATGTCAGTCACACCACTTAATTCATTACTGTAGGGTGCTCAGGTACTACCGTGATGAGAACAGAATGAGAACTGATGTAGAATATACTAGAAAAACGGAGTGATGGGAGCTGGGATTTTAGTTCATGCCCCTCTCTAATCAATATAGTGTTAATGATAGCAAATGGGGAACATCAGCAAAGCACACGATCTCCCAGAAGATACATACACCCAGTACATCTCTTGAATGTACTTAGAAGGGGTCAAGAGAAAAGGAATTCTATTCTCTAGCTGTCCTGGGCTCACTCCATCTATTTGTGTGAGTAAAGAGATGGTTTCAAGGTCTTTCAGATCTCATCTTGCTAATAACACCAGAGATGAGGCTGAATCTCAAAATTCAGATCTAGATTTCAAACATCCAGTAGTTTGGGCCCATGGTTTTGCTTTGACCCATTATGGGAACAGGGGTGGCAGATGGGCTGGGAGGGCAGCTCTGAAGTTTGGATCAAAATCCTGGGCAGATTCTGAACTTCCAGTGTTTGGGAGGGGTCTTTGTATCGAAGATTTTGGCCACATTTCTAGATAGTACAGCTCAATACAGGCTGAAATTAGATAGCTTAAGTGAGAATAAGGGACATGCGTTGTGACTAAGGATGCTAACTGGATGCAATGTAGTAAAGAAGAGGCCAAGGGGACATGATCAGCATCAACAAGTAACAGTATATTGTATGAAGAAAGAAAGGGAATTATTAACAGCCTCAGAGAGTGGTAGGCTAAGGAAATCAATGCTTTAGAAAAAAAACCTTTGATGCACCTCTTACCTGCTGCTATCTAAGCTAGTACTTTGTGGTATACAAAATAGGGATAAACTTAGCATCATCTATGACACAGCAAAGGTCCAGTTACAAGAGTGAATTACTGTACAAAGTATCATTGTGGGGGTGTATTGGATAACTGGATCCTGAGAAAAATGCAGATATAACAACTCCCCCCATGAATTATAGATCTCAAGCGTCCCTCCACACCCAAACTGTGAAGACACCAGCAGTTTTATTGCTTTCAACCACTTTTACTGTACTGTTGCATATTTTTTCATATTTTCTGCTGAGCACCTATCCCACCCTGATCTTTGTGATAGTAGAGAAGGAGCAGAGTTGAAATTGCGTTGTTTCAATGTATATTACAGATAGGAAAATATTTTCACCCCGGCTCCAGGCATAAACACCGGACACCTTAAGGCTGTAATGTATCTCTTTCTCTCCCCAATCCACTTTAGTCTCCAGAACTATTACTTAATAGGGGGTTGGAATTGCACCTTTTGAGACTAAGCGGTTATTGCTGTAAATATGGAGAAAGAGCAATTTCCTTAGAGTTGCATCTGCTATTCTCAGGAAAAAAAATGCAGTAATGAAATATTATCAGCAGAGGTTTCATTGTTAGGAATAAAACAAACCTTGTGTCAGTTGTTCATATTTGCTGTACATTGTGCCACATTTCAGCCATGCATTCATCTCAAAATCACCCAATTCACTGGTCCTTAGTACCAAAAAAATCCAGCAAACAAAAAGGAAAGACACATGGATAATTCATTAACAGTTAACAGAGACCGACTCAGGTTATTTGAAGAATGGAAAAGCTCAGTCTTTTATTATGAAATAATCAATATTTTATTTACAGGTAATTTACATAATTAGAAAATGAATAATACAATTGCACTTTGAAAGGCTTCATTTTATCCTATCATTTATCGGCTTGTACAAAAGAAGCAAACACACTATCTTCTTGCTCCAACAGAACCTCAGGCTTATCATACTCCAAAATAACCCCTCTCTTCATTACAATGACTAAATCTGCATTCAGAATAGTGTGTACCCTGTGCTGAAAAGTAAACAAATGAAATACAAGTTCAGTGTATTGAATATAACTGTGCAAGATAAGGCAGAAATCAGAAATTCTAGAAATCAGTATTCCTATCAAAGTTCAAGCTTGATGGAGATGACTTAATTCCATTTAGTGAAATCCCATTATTATGCCAATTATGTAGATATATATTTAGGCCCCAATCCTGAAACTGACTCAATGGGCGTGGATCCCTGTAACTGTGCATAGTCAATGAAGCTCTGTGCAAGCCTGGGAATCTGCACGCGTGGCGTCACCTGCAAGGTCAGGGCTACAGATGCACTTTTACAGTATTTTGATATTGCTAAATACGGATTAGACAAATATGGCCCTTTTCCTACAATTTATCACTTCATCTTTATTAAGATGACTGTGTTTCTAAAGCAAATGCAGCTGCCGAGATGACATTTACAACTGGGGTTGTAATAAACTGGGTTTATTTAAAAATATTTGTGTATGAATTGTGTATTTTAAAACCTGATATAGAACCCAGAGGCTAATAAAAATGTGCGCGCACTGGGAACTTTAAAAAAAGACGAAAACACAACCAAAAAACCCTCCCTCCACACATCCCCAAACAAATAAAACAAGGAAAATGCAAAAAACTCTGTGCAACACTACCTAAAAATTTTAATGAAGAGAAGTCATGAAATTCTAAATTAGGATTCCTGCAGCAACTGTATATTAAACACATTCAATGTGTATAAAATAACACTGTGTACACTAATACGTAATATTACATACATGCAAAAAGGCCAAGTTATGATTTCTACAGTAACTCTAACTATGAATTTCCTGACTTTTGTTTGCATAAAATGTCAATCATAATATAGCTTTAACATTTTGAAAATATACAATACCCTCTTATTTCATTGCCCAAAGACCCATTTGGAAGATATTTATCAATAATGACATGACTGTCAAGTACATTTCTTTGGTTCAGTTCAAATCTTCTCTTTATTAACTAATTCTAGTTATTACTGTTTGAGATCATTATCTAATCATTTTAAAATACATTGGCTAATAAATCTGATAATATTTAACAATAAAACAAAATAATATTTTTGAAAGCTGCTAAAATGCTTATTTAACTTATCCAACAACAAAGTACTATCCAACAGCAAAGCTATATTGTCATTTTTGTTCTTAAATTTAAGTATCATGGCTTAATAAGGGCCAAATCTTACTCCCAGATAGGCATGTACAATTTCCATTGAAGATAGTGGAGTTAAACCACAGCTGAATTTGGCCTAAAATGAATAAGTCACAGAAAATACACAATATCTTTATATGTGGGCCCTTGAAGTCAATGGTAATTACTATTGTGAAACACATTTCAGGATTATGTGTTAAATATTTAAAATACAAATATGTGAACTACTTTCTAAATGGTTTAAATGGAAAATTAAATAAGTGCCATATTAGAAAGCAATAGACTAGAGAATCAGAGAAATTAATAAGGTACATGATGCATTGTTTTACATTTCAGGTACTTGTTTGCATTTGAAGAAGTCACGTAGAGTGTACTTACTGCTATGGTTACCACAGTACGGTCAGCAAACGCAGTCATTACAACTTTCTGAAGAATGTTCTCCTACATAAAGGAAAAACAATTATTATTTTTAAAATAGATTCTAAAGTGATGGGCATAAAAATAAAAACAAGTGTCAAACAATTAATACTAATTTTTTTTAATAACTGTAAAAATATGAGAAATTAACAGCATGCTAAATTAGGGTATTCTAGAATGATCATCCAGAATGGGCCAAATTCTGTGAGCAACCCCAACTTACTGAATTTTGATACTACTACTTAGTTAGCTCTTACATAGCACTTTTCCTTTGCTGACCCCAGGGCACTTTACAAAGAAGGGACGTATCACTGTGTCTGTTTTAAAGTTGAGAACTATGTTTTAAATCATGTTATTGCAAAGGAATATTCACTTTGCTGGCAATCCCGCTCCATTCTGGTACCCGTGCTGTGCATTCTTTTTGTCCCGCTGAAAGCAATGGAACGTTACGACATACTCAATACAGTTGACAGCACTGGAGGTGTGTTTTGCTAGATGTACCTGGCTGGTACAACAGCAGAGGAGGTCTTTAAGACAGTCTTAAAATACTTAGCTGTCCTCACAGAGTGTTCACCCGTTGCTGTTTATGAATGTATTGGTGCGTGCCAAGCTCAGCAAGGCAACATCATTAGAATAGTTATCGTCATATCATCTGTTCCAAAGGTTCACATGCCCCAATGAATGGACTGCTTGCTTAATACATCAACATTCAAAATGTGTTTTAACTGGTCTGTGGGTAACTGCAAACTTGGCCCTCAGCACCACAGTCTCAAGGCTCTACACAGCAGTAACTTACACCAACCGGTACTAAAGATTTTTATTTACTCTAATAAATCACTACAATAATTTTCTGCACTTATGTAGTACCTTCCTTCTGAGGATCTCAACATACCTTATGACAGTCTTTGATAACAGAGTTTAACGTAACTGGGAACAAATCAACTTAGAATATTCTATTGTATTTGGCTAAGACCAGCCAGGGCAGTATTAGTGTGCAGTTTAACCTCTACTAGGGACTCTAGCTTGCACTTGCAGGAGGATAGATGCAATGATCTAACAGGTCTTTTTTATTTCTTATTTATTTACTTGACCTTACTTTCAGCCCCCTGCAGGGTGAAAACTTCTTCATCACTTGTCTTCTCCATCATGCTGAAGCATTCACCAAGAAACTTGCTATGCCTGGCTAGTACAAGTTGGAGGAGGCATAACATTACCAGCCAAGTTTGTCCTCAACTGACCACCATAGCTAAGCCTCTGAAGACTTATTTACTTTAGGAAACTGAACTGTCAATACAAAAACATTTGCACCAATGCTTCAATTTAGTATATCGTGAGGGACTATCAACCCCAAGTAAGATAGATTTGTCAGACTAGTTAACAGTGACTCTCATATATGGTCAATGTCTATGATGGAGCCAGCTTGTAAACACACTTGCAAGGAAACTTGTGTTCACACAATATTAAGTAGAAATATTTTACATAAGTTTCATCTCTGGTTACTAACAATAGTGTGGCTACCCTCTCTGAAAAATCATGTGCCATATAAAAAAAACTTGAAACTCTGAACTCACTGTTGCCATGTCAATAGATGCTGTGGCTTCATCCATGATGAAGATACTTGTCTTTCGCACAAATGCCCGTGCTAAGCAGAACAGCTGTCTTTGCCCCTGGCTAAAATTTTCTCCACCTTCTGTGACTATGGCATCTGGACAACAAAAATAATATTTAGGCTGTTGTGGGGGAGGGGAGCACAGAGAGCATGTTGACAAAGTAAGATCTCATACTTACGTTAAGAATTTTTAAGATAATTTATAGGTCTTAAGTTGCTGGTGCCCAGTTCTGGCACCTTTACTCAGATTGAGTAGTGACACTGGTTTCAGCAGCATTACTCATAAAGTAAGTTACTTTTCATCACGAGGATGGCAGAACAGGACATAGTTATTTTCAAAATTGATGCATCTTATGTACAGAAATGAAAACCCAAAGTCCATCACACATATAGTTAAATGTAGTTCTTCATATAAATAAAAATGGGCATACTGTTCTGACATGTTGTCTGAAGGAACAGCATAAAAAGAACTATGCCAAGTAAATAAGAAACTGAAATACTATAGGGAACCCTCCCCTCCAACATATTTTGATGTAAATAAAATGCAAAGGGGAGAAATTAATATATGAAATGTGTCTTTCTGTTTTATAAACCTGCCACAATGCCTGTGTGTAGATTAAAGCACTCTAACCTAATCTGTTGATATGTCTCTTGCAAACCAGACAACTAATCCCTGGAAGATCTCCTTTCTCCTACAAATTTGGTTGAGTGTCTCATTTTATCTAGCTTACCCCGATGGCGATAACTTCTGTGTATACACATTAAATTGAGGAAAAGGAAACACTCTATTAAAAATGTGACTGACTTCAAAGGAACTTGTCAGAACAACTAGTTGTTATAAGCTATTTTAAATGGAGTTGTGTCTTTATAATGCTGCCTTCTTGAAGGAAAACAACTTTACGTGAGACAGCATCGACTGCTTGTGGGCCAAACCCTGCAGTCCCTACTCAGGCAAAATCCTACTGGAATCAAAAAGAGCTTTGTCTGAATAAGGTCAGCAGGACCAGACTCCTTGTGTGCAAAAAGAAAGGTACAGCAGGTGTCATGCAGCATAAAGAGTGACAATAAAAGACAGGTGATATGCATTTTCCAAGAGCAGATTGATTTGAAATCACAAATGTATCCCTTGTAATATTACACATTTGAGTACTACTAGTTACCTGGGATGTCCTCAATAGAGATTAAAGTCATTGGGATTTTGAACTGTTTGGAACTATGCTCCATGACTGCACAGTCAGCTGTTGGATATGATTAAGAATGCGCTAGGCATACAATGGGTGATTAGGCTACCTAAAATTCATGTTCAGGATTTAAAAAAAAAAATGGATAGGGCTAGTAGTGATAAATGCATAAGAAGGGCAAAGTTTTGCTCTCACTAACTTCAGTGAGGTAGAACAGGCGTAACCAAGAGTAGGATTTAGCTCATGATGTTACCATTATTGTTGTTTGTTGAGCTTGGACAGTGTGTGCTCAGCCTTCTGCAGAGCACAGAGCATGAGATAGTCCCTGTCCCAAGGAGCTTACAATGCTGTGTTTTGTAATGTATTGTACATTTCATACTTGATTTTATTTTATTAAAAACAGCTGTCCGGATCAGTCTGTAGAGTACATTTCATTCAGCACACAATACCTGTTTCATTTGCCTATTCTAAGATTCATTTTATGTGTCTGAGTACTGCACTCAAGTACTTAAATGCATTTGCAATAGTGAAAGTAGCTTAGAAGAAATGCTGGAATTCTAAAGGAGACCTAAAAAAAGAACAGGAGTACTTGTGGCACCTTAGAGACTAACAAATTTATTAGAGCATAAGCTTTCGTGGGCTACAACCCACTTCTTCGGATGCATATTGAGTGAAACATATTGAGGAGATATATATACACACATACAGAGAGCATGAACAGGTGGGAGTTGTCTTACCAACTCTGAGAGGCCAATTAAGTAAGAGAAAAAAAACTTTTGAAGTGATAATCAAGGTAGCCAAGTACAGACAGTTTGATAAGAAGCAAGTGTGAGAATACTTACAAGGGGAGATAGATTCAATGTTTGTAATGGCTCAGCCATTCCCAATCCCTATTTAGCCCTGAGTTGATTGTGTCTAGTTTGCATATCAATTCCAGCTCAGCAGTCTCTCGTTGGAGTCTGTTTTTGAAGTTTTTCTGTTTTAAGATAGCCACCCGCAGGTCTGTCATAGAATGGCCAGACAGGTTAAAGTGTTCTCCCACTGGTTTTTGAGTATTATGATTCCTGATGTCAGATTTGTGTCCATTAATTCTTTTGCGTAGAGACTGTCCGGTTTGGCCAATGTACATGGCAGAGGGGCATTGCTGGCACATGATGGCATATATCACATTGGTAGATGTGCAGGTGAACGAGCCCCTGATGGTATGGCTGATGTGATTAGGCCCTATGATGGTGTCACTTGAATAGATATGTGGACAGAGTTGGCATCGGGCTTTGTTACAAGGATAGGTTCCTGGGTCAGTGTTTTTGTTCAGTGATGTGTGGTTGCTGGTGAGTATTTGCTTTAGGTTGGGGGGTTGTCTGTAAGCAAGGACAGGTCTGTCTCCCAAGATCTGTGAGAGTAAAGGATCATCTTTCAGGATAGGTTGTAGATCTCTAATGATGCGCTGGAGAGGTTTTAGTTGGGGGCTGAAGGTGACAGCTAGTGGTGTTCTGTTATTTTCTTTGTTGGCCCTGTCTTGTAGGAGGTGACTTCTGGGTACTCGTCTGGCTCTGTCAATCTGTTTTTTCACTTCAGCAGGTGGGTATTGTAGTTTTAAGAATGCTTGATAGAGATCTTGTAGGTGCTTGTCTCTATCTGAGGGATTGGAGCAAATGCGGTTATATCTTAGAGCTTGGCTGTAGACAATGGATCGTGTGGTGTGTCCTGGATGGAAGCTGGAGGCATGTAGGTAAGTGTAGCGGTCAGTAGGTTTCCGGTACAGGGTGGTATTTATGTGACCATCGCTTATTAGCACAGTAGTGTCCAGGAAATGGACCGCTTGTGTGGATTGATCTAGGCTGAGGTTGATGGTAGGATGGAAATTATTGAAATCATGGTGGAATTCCTCAAGGGCTTCTTTTCCATGGGTCCAGATGATGAAGATGTCATCAATGTAGCGCAAGTAGAGTAGGGGCGTTAGGGGACGAGAGCTAAGGAAGCGTTGTTCTAAGTCCGCCATAAAAATGTTGGCATACTGTGGGGCCATGCGGGTACCCATAGCAGTGCCGCTGACTTGAAGGTATATATTGTCCCCAAATGTGAAATAGTTGTGGGTGAGGACAAAGTCACAGAGTTCAGCCACCAGGTTAGCTGTGACATTATCGGGGATACTGTTCCTGATAGCTTGCAGTCCATCTTTGTGTGGAATATTGGTGTAGAGGGCTTCTACGTCCATAGTGGCTAGGATGGTGTTTTCTGGAAGATCACCGATGGATTGTAGTTTCCTCAGGAAGTCAGTAGTATCTCAAAGATAGCTGGGAGTGCTGGTAGCGTAGGGTCTGAGGAGAGAGTCCACATAACCAGACAAGCCTGATGTTAGGGTGCCAATGCCTGAGATGATGGGGCGTCCAGGATTTCCAGGTTTATGGATCTTGGGTAGCAAATAGAATGTCCCTGGTCGGGGTTCTAGGCATGTATCTGTACAGATTTGTTCCTGTGCTTTGTCAGGGAGTTTTTTTAGCAGATGGTGTAGTTTCTTTAGGTAATCCTCAGTGGGATCAGAGGATAATGGCCTGTAGAATGTGGTGTTAGAGAGCTGTCTAGCAGCCTCTTGGTCATATTCCAATTTATTCATGATGACGACAGCACCTCCTTTGTCAGCCTTTTTGATAATGATGTCAGGGTTGTTTCTGAGGCTGTAGATGGCGTTGTGTTCAGCATGGCTGAGGTTATGGGGCAGGAGACCTAACCACCCTACAGAAATCCAAGGGCATTGCTCTTTCAAGGGAAAAAATAATCTGGGGAAATGCCGCCTTCTGGCGCATATTAGAACACAGTGCAGCACTTACAAACAATTCCATGAATACCAACATGATTTTAACATGTTTATGTGACAGACTGTATCTCTCTCTCTAGTATATCTATTCACAGTACCACTCCAACCATGCAGTATTCTTTGAATCTATTACATAGGTGGGTTGCTAGACTTATTTCATTTCCTGAAACAGGGTCTTTCTTTGATTTTGTGTGTGTATTGGGGCATTATATCCCACTGCCAGCTTATATGTCCATCTTTTTTTTCCACCCCACAAGACAATCATTTTCTCTAATTTGTTTTATATTTCCATTTGCAACCTCCTTAATATCTCAATTACCTTTATATCTGTTTGCATACACTTGACTTATTAGCCACAGTGAGTGGAGTACCACGACATTTTTAGTAAGGCATACAATTCTACACTTGCATGCAAGGTGTGACCTTGCACGCACCACGCTGTGTGGAGTATGCCATTTTGTTCTAGAAAACTGTGTACTTCGTGTGCGTTTGGGGGCCGGAAGGAATTGTCCCACAGACACAGCTGGTCAGGGCTTTCGTATTCTTGTAGAACGTATTTCTGGGGCATGCAATGCATGCGTTGCATACATAGACGGTATGCCACTGGCCACAGGACTAGAGACCAAGAGCGAAAATCTGGACTTACTGAAGTCAATGGGAGTTTTGTCATTGACCTCAATAGGGGTTTAATTGACATCCCAGCGGCAGTCATTTATATCTTTACCCAGGCTAGGGGTAAAACAGGAGAGGGAGTTGGATGGGTCCCAGCCCATCTGTCTGACTTCATACAGCGCCCCACAAAAACCTGGGCCAGCCTGCCTGATTCTAAGTGGCTTCAGTAACAGCCATTTTGCTGTAAGTTACTAACTAAATGTTAAATAGAAATGAATTTAACACTGGAAGCATTTTCCCAAAGCAAAGAGAAGCATTACCTAGACCCCCTGGTAGTGCTTTCACTACATGTTTGAGTTGTGCTATTTCCAAGGCTTCCCACAGCATGCTGTCTGTGCATTTCTTTTCTGGATCCAAGTTAAACCTATGATTCAATACAGTTAAAAGTTAACTATCAACATCAAATTCACTCATACATCTTCATATTTGTGTGGTTAAAAACAAACACACACACAATTATATAGATGGATTAAACACTTTGGGCCTGATTCTGATCTCACATCAGTCCAAGTCAGGAATAGCTCCATGGAAGTCAGTGGATTTGCTCTGAATTTACACCAGTGAAACGGAGATCAGAATCTGATCCTTTGAATCCAACATGGCCCCCTTTTAGTTTTTACAATACCAGTTTGTGGTACACAGAATGATCAGCATGATGCTGAACTATGACACTCAAAAGGGCATCACCACAGCAGAACAGTAGCTATAAATTACTCAACAGTTGTTATCAACCACTCTGAGTGCATCCTTAGCCTATTATCACCCAAAATAGGCAGCGACAAGTGCTTATCTCCTTCATGTCATATCATGTTGCTTAAAATATAACATGATATTCAGGAATAAAAGACTTGCAGCAGCAAATGTGATCTTTGGTTCACTTTTTACTCCTAGTGTTCATGTGGTGAATGTCCAGTGTTGGCCTAAATAAAATCTTGAATAAGTAAACAAACAAAACAAATATATACTGCCATTTTATCTTCTGATATAAATAATTCATGCCCTCTTCAAGCGAGTACAGGAAATAATCTGCCTCAGGAGAACTCTCATGGAATCAATAGGCAAACTTCAGCAGTTTATAAGTCATTATAAATGAAACTCCACTCTAACTACTTTAATGCCCAAATTAGCATACATAGACAATATAACTCTTTATTAAGGGTCAGATTGTCCCTTTTTGTGGAAAACGTCATAGGAGGGGATGGCATTTGTTGGAAACTCTGTGAAATTCTCTTCTCTGAGTTTCCATTTCACCTTCCCCACATAGGAAAGAGGTTTTGAACTCACGGAGGAGGGAATGGGGCAAGGTCCTGGAAACCTAACAGAGCACTAAGCTCCAAGCCAACAGAACCTGAACCGCCTTTGCACTGCTTCCCTGGTTCCCTTCCACTCTCCTTTGTTATGTACCATGGCGGTCCCCCCCACCACCTACATCTTCCCCACTTCACCTCTAAAGGGCTGGTTAATGCTCCTGAGATGACTTCGGCTGGCTAACCCACTGGGTCCTGAGGGTAGCAGGTCACAGACAGTGACTAGTCCCAGGTCCCACCTTAAGGAGCATACCTCCCAAACTGTGGAGCGTTGACCAGATGCAGTTGTTCTAGAAGGGCTCCCTGGGCTCCGAGGATGATGTGGGGAGGAGCACACAGAGAAGACAATGCTCCCCTCTTTTAATTAAAGGTAGTGGAGCATGAGGCCTCTTAACTGCATAGTTTGCTGCTGCTCTCTCTTCGAAAATCATAATCTGTGATAACACAAATCCTAGCTGTTTCTTGTTGTTTGTGCTTTATGCTTACCGGATTGTACCGCTGAACAAAATAGGATCTTGGAGAATGATTGACAGCCTGGATCTTAGCGTCTGTAAAGGGAGCTTTGCAATGTCTATGCCATCAATGATAATCCTCCCTATTCAAAAGAACATTGAGAGTCTGCTAGACTGTTCATCACATCATATAGCTAGCAACCAACAACACAACTTGATTTTAGTTTGCATTATATTACAGAGAAGCATGCAAGACTAACCCTTGGGGTACATATTACTTTATTCACCAGTGAAATGAGTTACTGCTAAGCAGAAAGTGCAGTTCCCTTGAGACTACATCATGGAAGATGCCTGTTATATTTTATGAATATTATATGTCCCATCTGTTTGTTTGATGATTATTGTGTTGTTTGCTATATGATTACAAGGGGTTAATTCAAGCAAAGGTCCCCTTTCCTGTGTGCCTAACAATAGGTTCAGAAAGCCCTATTTACCATACTTAATGGACAATGCAGGTGTCAATCACTTTGAAGTTTTACATCCAGCTATGCTGATGAGTTGAACAGTCTGGCTTCGCAAGGGTGGGGTGGGAAAACAGGCAGCAAACTGGAACAAAGAACTTTCAGAAAGGATAAAGAGATGTCCCTGCAGCACAGGGAATGAGAGTGCTGGGGAACAGACTGAAACCCCGTCCCCCAACCTCTAGGATTTCAGTCTGCTCCCCAGCAATCTCTGGGATGTTTGGGTTAAGCTCCACCTACATAAGCTTTAGGTCAGGTAGGTATGTGTGTAAACCTTTTATTGTGTTAAGCTCCTTTTTCTCTTGTTGTGCTTTGTTCCTGTGATTAAACAATGCTTTGTTTTGAAACGGCTGTAGTGGATCACTGTATACACCACTGGTCACGGCTCCCAGAAGGAAGACTTGCAGGTAGCTGGACCTAGTCAGACCTGCTGAACAATCACAGTTGGTACTCGAGTTATTGTAGCCTTGGGGCCACTCTGAAAGTGGGAGAATCGGGGGATTCCACTCCAGAACAGGCAAAAGCCTAGCACCTGAAGGGATGCACGCAGAGAGACCTGGAAGGGGTCAGAGCCACACAAATAATGATATACTTGATTTGCAGGATGTCTAATAACCCAGAATAAATGATCAGATACCGGAGAACATAGCTAAGTTGCATTTGTTGAGGAGGGCAAGCGCAGGTGAAACTTCTTCCCTTCAGGTCTCTAAGGGTTCACACTCTATATGCCGTCCATGAGTTGTCCATGCCCCAAGCTACAGAGGGATCCAATTCTGTTCTGTTCTATTCAGGTTCTTATAGCCCCTCCATCACAACCATATCCAAGTGCCTTCCTGAAGTGCATTAAGTGATGTGACTAACCTCTATCATGAGTGGTTCTTTCTCCCCTCTCCTCCCCATGTGAAAATGTCAGGAAGAGTTTGTTTGTGAAGTTCTAGAGCAGGGCATAAAGGATGAGGAGACATGCAAGTCTACTTTTGGAAATAACTGTAAATTAAAGGCTCAATCCTGCTCTCTCTGAAGTCACTGGGAATTTTGCTATTGACTTCAAAAGGAGCAGGTTCAGGCCTTATAGGAAATCAATATTGACACAGAATATGGATTTTTTAAAAAATACACGTTTGAAGTCCTTTTTTATTTTTAATGGAAACACTTGCCTGAGGCTGCTCATGGCATTAGAAAACACTGATCACGTTGAATGAGATTTTATATCAACCTGGGTTATCAATAAGGCAGAAGCTGATGAAAGACAGATGATCCCTTACTTGGAATAAGCCCAGCAACAATGCCTAGCACAGTTTTACGGTCTTTGTAATTCATGGCTGCTAGTGTCAGATGAAGAAGGTTCAAAGTTGCTTCTTCAGGGAGCTAACCCTGACTGGAGGGAACAGGTGTGAGCCTACCTTCAAAGGTGTCAACCATTCTGAAAAAGGCAAGAGAGAAGGAGGATTTCCCACTGCCTGTTCTGCCACAGATTCCAATCTACAACACAGAAACAAGATGAGTAGAACATTAAATGAATAGGAAGGAGAAATATCTGTACAGGGCATTTGCAACAAACATCTTGGGGTGAAATTCTGGCCCCGTCTGAAGTCGATGACAAAACTGAATTGTCTTCAGCAGGGGCCATATTTTCACCCTTTTGTCTTTTAAAAGAGAATTGGACATTCAGGGTTAGATTTTGGCTGGCCCTCCATGGGGATACTAGGGCACAGTGGGCCACAGGGAGACCTTCCGGAGCACAAGGAGGGTTGGCTAGTGCTGCCAGCAAAGTTTAATACCCCAGAGGGAGTGTGTCTGGGTGGGAGAGTCCACTGTATGATGGGAGGCAGACACACAAGATTAAGGAGGAGAAACAAGATTGAGGGGAAAGGGACAAGTGGGGAGAGATGACCAATGAAGGGACGGGGTAGGGAAGCCATTTGGGAATGATGGAGTGTATATCTCACATTACAAGTATCAGTGTCCCTTATTTTGAGGCCCTATGTCCCACAGCGGAGCACCAGAAGATTAAGAAGCACTGTACATCACTGTAACAGTACACATTTTTGAAGGCACCAGAGCAAAAGCGTAAAGAAACCAGTATAAGGGATCAGGACAGGAGTATATTATTTTGGAGGAGTTAAAACTTGGTGGAGGAAAAACTTTGGAAATCATTAATAAAAAATAGCTTAGTACATTCTCACCACTCTGTGGTTTCTATTACAAGCTGGTCTGACTGGGGAAAGAGTCATTTCTCAAATCATCTCCTCTTTTTTACCTTTTGCCCTGGAGAAATGTGAGCACTGACGTGCTTTAGGACTGGCTTTAGGTTGCTGTCATACCGGACACTCAGGTTCTGTATTTGGATCTCACCTCTGGCAGGCCAGTTCTGAGGAATCTGCGAAGGAGCTGTATAAAAACCCACTTGTGATCAATTCATCAATTCATTAAAAGCTCTAATAAGTTATTTATGGAAATTCACTGTGAATCATTAAATATTTAACAAGTTCTTTTCTCAAGCGATACAATACCACACTCACAAAGGAGCCCTTCATAATTTTCAGCTTCCGTTTTTAGAAGGCCATTGATTCTTTTCACTGCTCCCAGCTGGATCTCCATATCAGCCAGGTTACGAACCATCCAGTTCAGGTAATTAGACACCTGAAATAATATAAATAAATAAAAGTCACGTTTTGCTAATATGAAATACTGGAAAAGAAACACCATAACACCATTAGGCCACCAAGCACTTCCATTCCTCCAGGACAGCTTTTTAATTGTTTCTGTGTAGTTTATTTAGAATACAGTCTTAATAAGCTGAATGAAACATTTCGTGCACATTAACAGAGTGGCAAGACTGGCTGCAAGTTAAACATCCTAGTTATGGTGCTCTGGTATTATGATGCTACATGCCAATATTCAAAAGAAAATAAAAGCTAAAAGAGAGAGAGAACTTTTCTTTAAAAAAAAACCCTGAATATCTAGAATGAGAGACTGCAGCATAATGATGAGTAAATTCGTGATCTAGTAATACTATTTTTCAATTAGAATGAATGATAATATTTTGATATATTTATTAATAACTACACTATATATTACTTACATGGGATTTAAAAACTTAGAAAAGAATATGCTTAACAAACATATCACCCACATAATATGAATTGAAGTTAATGTACTATTTCAGTGTTTTTACAGCTTCCCAATATGGATGTGTATTCAGCACCTTCTGTCTTTCCCACCTTTGTGCCCTAAAGAAAGTATTGTGTGTGGGGGAAGCCACTCAACGCATGATTTAACTTACCATAAGAGCATAGGTTAGTCCTAAGCCCACAAGTCCTGAAGACAGCTGATTGTACAGGGACTTGGTAATAGAAGTCACAGCTGCTATGAGAACCACACATGCTCCAATGTATTCCTGAAGAAATATGAATAAGCTCCATCACTATATATATATATATATAGAGAGAGAGAGAGACCATGCAAATATTTTGGTAAGTTCAGTTTGAAACAATAAACCCTTTACATGGCTAAGACCGAAACACATGCAGAAGATTTTAAATCTGTGGATAGAGATGGCCTGTTAACCCCCATTTTTGCTATCGTTTCCCTTGTCCCCTCTCTCTCTCACTTCTTTGTATTGTCAGATGTATCCACGGTTGTGTTCCCATCCCATCTTAAATTAGGTTTGGTCTACATATAGTTTTTGTACCAATATAAGTATTTCAGTTAGGTGTGTGATGTTTTACTGGAATAGTTATACTGATACAGTGGCTAGTATAGAGTCAGTCATACCCATTATATGAAAGGTGCCATATATTAGAATAGCTTATTCCCTAAATTTACAGGCATAAGCTATACTTGTATAATTATGTCCACACTAGAGGTTATGGAACTGGTATAGTTAAAGTGGTACAATTTTTGTATATAGATAAAACTTTAGAATGGGAAGTCAGTGGGGCAGGGACTGTCCTCCTGTACGGCCACATCTATGCTGGCAACTGGACAAAGGTACAAGGCAGTGTGTACACTTGCCCATATAAGCCACAGCTGCACAGAGTGTCCAGATATGCTATGCTGGACATGGGTGTACACTCTGAACCTGGGAATACCCGTGTCCACACAGCTTTTTTTTGGTAAGCAAGGTTAGCACCTCTCCTGCCCAACTGGTAGAAGAAATGGCACAAGTGACCGACGGTGCACGACTCTTTCTTGTGAGACAAATGTGAGTGCATTGCAATACGTGACCGGTGAGAATTTTGGATGAAAGGACTTGGACCTCTCTCACAAGCCAAAGACTGGTAGCCAG